ATCAAAAAATTCCCAGAATTAAAAAAAATCTACAACTTAAAGATTATCAATCAAAAAAATACTGTCATTGTACTTGAACCATATGTCGCTGAGCTTCCACTTCTGTCAGAGGAGCTAATGCTCCTCCATTACAAATCACACAGGTATCAGACTTAAGAAGAGTCAGTGTTGCCCTTAGTCAGTCAGCATGGAGTCATCTATGCTGGTCGCTGGGTAGGTGGCTCATTCTCTAGTGCATGGCTACATCCCCATGCACATAGACACAGTACTAATTCTATTCAGGGTTGTTATTGATAGCAAATAAACAAAGAACATTGAATTGGGAGAAAGATAGAGTAAGAAGCACTAGAGTAAGAAGCTGGAGGGAGGAGTGGTGGATGAACTTGACCAATATATATTGTATAACTACCCAAGAATGAAACTACCCAAGAATGAAAACATATTACTTAAAACATAAATGTAATTTAAGTTTATCTTGGCATGGAACTACCAAAGAATGAAAAATATTACTTAAAATATACATGTAATGTAAGTTTGGTTTGTTAATCGCTTGTAAAAAAGCACAAGGAAGAAATGTTTTCTAGAATAATTTAGAACACACACAAAAAAAGAGACAGGTGTTTTAGAATTAACTAGCAGTCAGTAAACACAAAGCTAGAAATAGCCCATATTAGGTTGAAAAACAGTCATTAAGTTCCCTACAAATTTCTTACATTTGTTAAAAAGGCTAATCTGTTAAGGATTTACACTTAAGTTTTTTTATGGAACATTTTATGTTTCCTGTTGTATACTTACCATCTTTCCTGCCAATTCACATATTTAAACTTTCAAATCTGTCATTGTAACTGAAAACCTGGTTATCTTGTCAAATTCTCTTGTGTCAAACAGCGTACCCATGGGATACTGACAGTCTTTCTGAAGGAAGTATGCTGGTGCCAAAGCAGAGAAAATGGTCTTGACTTGGATGCAGGCCAGGCAAAGTTTTCAGTTAGCAGAACCTTCTAAGACTGACTTGTATTGTGATAATTTATATGAAATATATTTTGTCTTCAAATTGTTTCAGGACCAACTTCAGACTAAGCTTTTGTAAAATACCAAGGGTTTCTTGTCTCCATTGTTTACATGTTTTCTATGAATACATTTGCATCTTGATCCCCTTTTCTCTCAGTGAAATGACCATGCCCTTTCCCTTAAACATTGCCTTCTGAGTTACAAGCATACCTCTGCCTGAACACGTTAAATAAGAATGTAGACTTTTTTCTTTGCTTTTATAGTCATAATCATGAGAGGCCAATTGAGTTTTTCTAAGAGAATATCATCTTAAGACACCTGTGTCTTTCACAATTAATGGAGGTCACAGTTAACATTTTATGGTGTCTCTAGATGAAATGAGCTTTTCAGTTAATATGCTTTTGATGGTTTAACCTTTTCTTTAACGCCCTCTGAATTGTAGTACTTTATATGATGACGGCATTCAACTTCATCTGGTAAGGACTGCACTGTCCCCTCAGAGACTGGATTGTTGTGTTTTGTGATTTGCTGCTAATGTGCCACTGGGGGAGGAGATATGACTCAGTGATGGGTCTTCAGTCCTAGAATCAATAAGACATAAACTCCGAGACAGAGGAAAACCTATTTGGACATCTAGAGTGGGAAAGGATAAACAGGCTTTAACATTGTCATTTGGCATCTGCTAAAGGCAATGGCTTTGTGATTTGAATTAGTCATCTGCATCTGTGGACTCCTCCAATAACATTACTCATAATAGTGATCTCGCTTATGGCATTTGAATGTCTAATGTCTAATTTTATTCCAAGACCTTGGGAACAAATGTCTAATTTTATTCCAGAAATACTAAAGAGAAAAAAATCCATATTTTTAACTAGTATAGCCATAAAACCAAACCAAGTTTACCCCTTAGCAAACTGCTACTTATTTCTATAATGAAAAGAAGACATGAGAACAGAACGGTTCCTTTAAATTGTGTCACTGTACACAGAACAGTCTAACATCTTAATCTTTTGTACCAATGCCTCTTTCCCTTGAAGAATGACCACGGCCCTCATTACTACCTGTTTACATCTAGAGGTGTTATGAAGATTAATGGGAATACTTAACGCTTTGAGCTTCTCCCAAATTGCCCCATTAGAGAAACAGACGCTAAGAGCAACATTTGGTTAGCATCACTGGTTGGCTGCGAGCCCAAATCATTACTCTTTCATGTTGGAAAGGGTGGTGGCCTTTCTCCTGGACCTCACATATATTGTTTTCCCACCTCTGTGCTCACACAATTGCAAGATAAAGTGCTTGCTTCTTCTGCAGTGCCCTGGAGAACAGCCATTTGCTGGGGACATAGATCTTACTTTGTGGTGTGAGCGACCCAACATCTGGGAGTATCAATTTTTTATTCCTTTTAGAAGATTTTCTTTCTTTTTGTAACCTTTAACTTCATAGGTCACTGACCCAAAGAGTAATAGATCAACTTGTCTTGAGAGATTTAAGGACCTTCTTGTTGCCTAGCAGGACTGGAATTTTTGTGCAGCCAAAGTAGTCTTAGGTCCAAGCTTGGAGAAAACTGGTTTGTGAAAGAGATTAGCGGTATCTCTTCAGATCCCTTGCTCCAGTGGAGGGGAGGGATTAAAAGAATCCCATCAGCAGCTCACTTGAGATTCTATCTGGGGATATAATCTTGAAAGAGGTAGGTGTTGTGATGGTGGTACCAAAATGTGCAACGTTTCACATTGACAGTACACAATGAACCATCAGAGTGTTTGCGAGATTACTTGGGTTTTCTGCAATGCATTATTTATTAAACAATTTATTATTTATTTAAAATAAATAAATAATTAAAAATCTAATAAATAAATAATAATAAATAATTTAAATAAAAATAAATTTATTAATTTATTTAAAAGCAACTACTACTACATTGTGTCCTTCAAAACAAAGACAAACAAACAAAACCCACAAAACAAAGCAAAAAGACCAATTGCTAGAGAAAGGCAATCAACCAACATGAAAACAGACATGTATGTAGTAGATACCAGTAATGCACAGCTCAGGTGACTTCAGCTTCAGATTGTCCAAGTCCTTTGTTATCAAGACTATGGTTTATAGTTGGCTTTCCAATCCCAAATGCACAGCCCCCAAAGCATACATATAAGCAAAATTATACAGATTGAATGGGTTATATTTATGGACACACACACACACACACACACAAGTATGTAACAATTGGGGAATTAATGTAGAATATTTGAAAGATTTGAAAGAGAGAAAAGGTTATGGGAGTGATTGAGAGTTTAAAGAGAGGGAGAAAGAATAATGTAATTATGTAAGTATAATTTTAAAAAAAAGAAAAATAGACCATGGCTTATAAATATTGTCTTATTAATATTGTACTTATTAACTGGACTTATGCAAATAAAAACATCGTTCTCTGTTTTGTATGATGATGTTGTAATCATATCTGATAAGATGATTTTGAAATGTTCATTAGGAGAAATATAAACAGTTAAACTGGTTCCAGAAGTTACTAAAATTCACCTTGTCGTTTTTGTTTTTTAAATTAAGATTTTTTTTTTTAAATGACTGTTGCTTATCTCTCCATTGCTGTAATAAACTGCTTAGAATCATTAATAGTGTAAGGACAAGTCTCCTTTGGCTCAAAACTTAAGAACTTCCACACGTGTCCGTCTGACCCTGTTTTGTTCTTGTTGGTGGAGACTGTAGCAGACAAAGCTTGAACACCTTGTGTAGACTGGGCGAAGAGACAGATGGAGCTGCACAGGGTCCCAGGATCTTCTTCAACAGTGACCTAACATTTTACTCCAAGGCCACGCCCCCTAACAGTTCTATCTCACAATAGTGCCACAGCTGGGAACCAAGGCTTCAGCAGACGGACCAAGAGAATAAATTGTCTATCCAAATAAATTTGTCTATCCAAATTAGAGAAACAAATGGTCAGATGTTCAGGCATCTCTGTTGTTTATTAAATCAGTTGCTTAAAATGTTGTTTAATTATTTACTTAATTAGTTTTTATGTAAAATTTGTGTGTGACAGAGTGGGTAAGGCGAGAGGCTTACACAGGAAGGCATCCTCAATCGCTTTCTAATTCATTTTTTGAGATTATGTTTCTCACTGAGCTTGGAGGTAACCAATTGGATAGTCTAGGAAATGAGTTATAGGCATCCCCTGTCTCCAAACTTCTCTCCATACAAGCTATAGGGTATAGAGGTGCAGCACCATACCCAGTAATTTACAGGAGTACAGGGGATCAGAACTCTGGTCCTCATGCTTCCTCAATGGACACAACCTGCGTCCAATCACCATGGTTCCTTTTAGTAAAAGGAATATGACTTAGAAATAAACATGCACACAAATGCATACACACACACACACACACAAAACAATAATAATAATAACAACAATTAAAGAAAAAGGTAATCAATTTCAAAAGAAAACAAAGGGTGTATATGGGAGGATCTTATTGGAGGAAAGGAAGGTAGAGATAACATAACTATATTTTAATCCCATTTCCCAAGTTCATAGCTTGGTCTCTTGCTGAAATGAAATGTGGGCCAGTAGTTTAGAGGAACATTTAACACTATAGTGAGGATGACAGGGGTGGGGTGTGGGGAGGTTTCCATGTAATCAGATCAGAGAGACTAACCTGCTCTTTTAATGGGGAAACATATGTTGCAGTCAGATCATAGTCACAGAAGTGAAGACATTAAGCGGCAGTGGGATCTTCTGTCTCTCTCGTGTTGATACATTGCATAGACCGATGCTCTCTCACAGGTCTCAAACACAGATCTCTTGATAAGTCAGATACCCCTGGTCTCTGGTTCTGGGTGTGATATCACCCACACAAGTAGCAGGATGATATTTTATCCCCTACATCATTACCTCTTTTTACCTTCATTCTCAGCATGCTCGTGGATGCTTTGATTTCGGGGGTTCTACTGAAGGTAACTTGATCTCTGTTTGTATTTTACAGAAACTATCTCTTCAGACTACAGCTTGAGGATCTGTCTCTCATCCAGGTAAATGTGATTTATTTTGCTTTTAACTTACCATTTTTCACCACAAGGATCCAAAGCCAGGTTCATGTAGAGTTGTTAATCTGGATGAGCAGGGTTCATTTCCTCAGTGGTCAGGGCCCCCGGACTCTGAGCTGCTTTATCTGATGTGAGTCATCACCTCTTTAATTCCCAGTTAGCCATTTCCTACTGCATGTGGTCAGTTTGCTCCCTGGATATCAGGTGGTGACAGTGGGAGAGACATGGGTTAAAATCCCGATAAAGCAAAGAGAAAATGTTAACCTCTAAAAATGAATTCATTTTTGTTGCCATGTGGAGATTGAACTTGGTATTTTATGCTTGAATGTTTATTTTTGTGGCCAATCTGATCTCCACAGCTTCTTTGCTTCCTCTAGTCTTTTAGGAAAATATGCCAGGCAGGTTCTTTTAGAAGGGAAAATGAAAGAGATACAAATATCTCCCCTACCCGTGTTTCAAAGCTTTCCCTGCAGACTGTTAGTATCCTTGAGCTTTGGAGAGTTTGGAAAATAGACTTGAAACAATTTTAGTAATACCCTGCTGTCCTGGGCGCTAAGAAGTGACTGGGTTGAAGTTGATCCTTTCTGTCTAGAATGTTGGGTAAGAATGAGCAAAGTCACTCAAAGGAGATGAGGCACAGGAATTGTTCAACGGTTGTGTTTTGCTTTTGCTTTTTAAGTTATGATGATGAATAAATACTTATAATAGTTTTATCATATTGGACAACAAGTTACCTTCACACTACAGTTTGGTGTGTAACTGACGTCTTCAGCTGAGCTAACTGGTTGTTAAAATGGTGACTTTTATTGATAAGCAATCAGAGTGATCAGCAAGTGACAGGTACCCTCCCTCTTAAGTTAATCAGAACAATGAGAAATAGACTAAACGATGTCACTTATATTTAGATCTAAAAACATACAATTCAAAGAAGCAGAGGATAAAATGATGGCTACCGAAGGCTTAAAAAATACATAAAGGCCTGGAAAGGCTTTTGCCAAAGTATACACAATTCCAGTTAGACATCAGGAAGAATTCGAAGATATGATTATACAGCTTGATAATTAGAGTTGCAATACCTATGCAGCATACTTTCAAACTGTCAAAAGCAGGTTTTAAATTTTCTTTTCACAGAATCACAATAAATTTATTAGATAATATACAGATTCTGATGCTCGAAGCCATTTCACAGTCTATACACGTATAATGAAATCGCATTGTGTTAAAAATATATGAAATTTAACCAAGCAACAGTTTAAAAGTTTAAACACAATTGTAAAAAATATTATAAAATAATCTTATGGAATATTGGCCGTTCAATATAGAGTATGTTCATTTCTACTCTCATGGTATCGGGCGGTATCTAAGCTTTCATCTGTGAAATGTGGGCTGTGAGCTGGGGAGCTAGCTCAGTAAGTGTTCAATCCCGGAACCGAGGGAATAATGCAGGTGTGGTAGTGTGCACTTGTACTCTCAATGATAGGGAAGTGGAGTCAGGCAGCTGGATCCCGGGGCTTGAATAACTGCTAGCCTACTTGAAGGATTCCAGGGCTGGAGAGATCTTGCCTCAAACTGTGCTTTTGGTGGCTCCTTGGCTTCCCCATGCATGAACGCATGGACTCTCACAGAATTGTGCATCCACACAAACATAAATGTGTACACACACCCTAAAACGGGTATAGAGTGACTGTGCAAGTGTGTGCAGAGGAGTGTGCACAGAAAAAATAACTTTATTTATTTATTCCTATCCTAACTCTCTGGGGTTAGAGATTCTAGAAGCATTAAATTCCAGGAAAGTGAACACAATTTACAAACAGACTTCTCCACTGTGGGAAGTCAGTGTTTCTTGGAAAAAATGATGGTTCTAGGACAGACAGAGGATTGTATAAGATCAGATGGAGGAGCTTGTTTTAGAAAGGGAAGAGGGGTTCAAAGACTGGCAATGAGATGTTGGGACCCAGGAGCCATCTGAGAGTGAGCTCACTGCACAAAATGAAGAAATTGTTTGCCAAGAAACAGTAAAAGTAGCAGATTATTGAACACTGAATCAGATAAGAACTGATGAACATATGTTAACATTATAATAAATGAGGCAAAAAAGCCAACTATAATATTGACGGAAAAAATCTAATAGAAAATTAAGAACTGGCAACTGTCCCACTGTAAACTCAACCACATAAACATGATCCTTGGGTGGCAAATTTGTCATGTGGGTTTGATGACAAATAAGACATTGACATTCTCATAGTACCTACCTAGATAATAGTTACTAACTGCACTTGGAAAACTAGGACGTCATCAATGAAGAACCCTACTATGAATCTATAACCATGCAGAGTAATAGGACTTTAGCAGTAATGGACAAAGGGTCTGTGATTTGTTGAACTGAGGATGCAGTAGGGTTTCCATGACAACCCACCCAAACTTATAAACAATCTCATCATAAGGAAACATCACTTAAGCCCAAGTAAACATCTTACAAAAATCTAGTTTTGAACTTTCAAATATTGGTATGTGTGCAAATAAAGACCTGCTTCATCCAGAAAGAGATCACCTTAACATGTCTATCAAGTGTGATACTTATCCAAATTGATTCTTAAAACAAACTTTATCACGCTATAAGTGACACTTTTGAGACAATGTGGAAATCTGAATATCACTAGATGAGATAGAAACTTTGTGCCTTATAAATATATAGACATTAATCCCTTGATTTGTATGACTATGATGATAAATGCCATGGAAGAGAATGCCCTTTTCTTTGGAAAATGACAACAAACTGTGGAGGGTTGCTATGATTTCAATATCTAGTGTTCCCCCCATCAATAGGCTCCTGTGTCTGCATACATGTCCTTAGCTTGTGGTACTGCTTGGGAAAGTTTTGGAATATTTAGAGGTGGGGTCTTGCCGGACAAAGCAGGTCACAGTGATGGGCTAGAGGGTGAGGGTGGAGTAGGGAGGGACTTTATAAGTCAGCTCCACTTTCTGTTCACGTTCTGCTTCTTGACTGTGGGAGCAGCATAACTAGTTGGACTCCTGGTATTGTTGGCAAAGCTTCCTGCCATGACCATGATGTCATGTGGTTCTTTGAGCCAGAATGAAGCCTTTGTCACCAGACATTCAGGTATTTCATCACAGCCAAAGGAAAAGTAGCTGACAAGAGGAGTTAAAGGACATCGTGTTCATAAGTGACTTGTAAACAGCTTAAGTTGTGTGTGTGTGTAGTTGTTACACACACAAAATGAAGAAATGAAACAGCAAGTCTGATAGCGTGTTACTAAGGAAATTGGGATCAATATCATAAATACTCTTAACATTTCTTGACTATATCATAATAAATGCAGAAAGCTCCAGGTATGCCACTCCTGTTAAGCTGTGAATAGGAGTGTTGTCAGGGCAAGCAGACACTAATTGTCTTTCCAGCTATCACTTCATTTTGCCAGGACTATCTCTGACAAGGTCATATGTAGGTCGCTGACAGCAGTGAACACCCTTACTGAAAAAGTGAAGTATGTCAGTATGGCTACCTAGTGCGTCTCAGTCTGCTCACAGACTGAGGAAAATAGTGACATCCAAAAGGTGGTTTTCAATACAGCTGATAACAGGAGCCAAACATTCTCCTCACCCCTGACCCTGACTGCCCATGCTGAGCCGTGCCACTCTCCTGTTTTGTGTCTGTGTCTGTAGGATTGTAGCTCCTTGTTTACTTTGTGTTACAAGAGATAAAGCTAAATTTTTCTCAACACTATTTGTTTCTCATGTGTCCCTAGGAAACAAGTCTAGTTGATTTCTATGAATATTTTATTTTTATTTAAATTACTTATTCCAAGGGTGAAAAAAATAATAATGGCACTGGCAAACAAAAAACTGAATTGTTGTTATAAATGGGTCATGTGAGAGGCCTGAAGACAGTACAGGCCTTAAAGACACTTACTGCTGAACCCAATACCCAATGCTTGGTCTTGAGAATCGCATGATAAGCATACACACAAATACACAGACACACACAGACACACAGACACACAACACACACTTATACACAAACACACACACAGAAGGAAGAGAGAGACAGAGAGAGAGACACACACACAGACACACACACAGAGATACACACAAATGCACAAACATACACAGACATGTACACACAAAAAGAAAGAGAGACATACACATACACACGGACACACAAACAACATACACACTTATATATATATACACAGTTTCATACATATTCACAGACACACATACCCAGAAACACACACAGGAATCCATGGACACACACTCTCATACTAATATTTATGCACACAAACACACTCATAAACACACATTGACACACACTAACACACATGCTCACACACACAGATATAGTCTCATACACACAGTCACATACGCACACAGGCACACACTCATACACACCACACGCATATACAAACTTACATACAGAGACCTACTCACATACACACAGAGACACACACTCAAAAACAGACACACACCTATAGGGACACACACACATGCATACACATAGGAGAGAGAGAGAAAGACAGAGAGAGAGAGAGAGAGAGAGAGAGAGAGAGAGAGAGAGAGAGAGAGAGAGAATAAAATGACATATTTAGTCTTAGATAATTCTATATTATCTGTTATTCTCAATGGATAAAAAAATAAGGATCTATGGGGAAAAGAGCTTCATATTACTATAGCCGAATTCTGCCAATCTAAATGGGATCATTACTTGTCTGAATTCCGTAAGTCTCAAGGCTTGTATATTCTGTGTCTCTAGCCTGCTTTGACTCAACCGCCATACTCAGGCACTCAGCACTGCTGCTGGACAGGGCAGCGGTGATAAGTAGGATGTGTGTCAGTAGGATGTTAGTAACTTCTGATTCTTTACACAAAGACCGCTTTCTACTAGAGATTTGTAGACTTGAGGTTAACAGTTTTTTCCTCCCCTCTCCAAAGACAAAAAAACAGCAAACAAACAAACAAAAACAAAA